CCAACGATGGTGCCTTCTCAACTAAGTCTGCTTATTGACCTCATCGTTGGTGGTCTTTCTCCCATCCACAATTCGAGTTTGCATTGTCTATAGAGCTGGAATGGCCCCCGACACATTAGATCCTTCCTTTGGCTTCTTAAAGGTAATAACCTCCTCACTAATTCTAGAAGAGTGCAACGGCATTTGTCTAGTTGCGCCCTTTGTCCCAGGTGCCACAATCAATCATCATGAAGATACCCTCCATGTTTTTCGTGACTGTCCCTGGAGCCATGAAGTTTGGGACGCTGTTCTTGGTCGTTCTTTGAAAGCCTCTTTTTTCCGCCTTCCCCTTGACACTTGGTTGGACATTGTTAGAGAATAGTATAAAACATTAAAAAGTCCTCACCCACACAAACTTAAGCTTTTGGGTTGAATTAGTTCTTTACATGGTATCAGAGCCTCGTGTCCCAGGTTCGATCCTCGCCGCCCCCCACTTTCTTTCAAGTGGAATTTCTTTGTTCGCACAGATAGGTGGGCATGTGCATTCTCCACCCTTCAAGCCCAGTGGGCTCTCGTGTGAGGGGGCGTGTTAGAAAATAGTATAAAACATTAAAAACCCTCATCCACAAACTTAAGCTTTTGGGTTAAATTGGTTCTTTACAGACATCAATCTCCAACATCCTGATTAACCTTTGTTGGACCAGCTTTGGAGCCTTCGGTTTGGTGTCATCTGCTGGAAAATGAGGGAAGCTAGAAACAAACTCATTTTTTATGGTATTAATTAGCACCCAAGTTATTGACCTTATCTACTTTGCCAATGGCTACGCCCTTAATTTTATAGATGCACAACGTCTCCTTTGCGCATCCGGTCTTGCCTCTCCCCAAAAATCTGTCAAGCTTATCAGTTGGATCCATCCTACAGACGGTTGGATTAAAGTCAGTGTGGATGGCTCTAGCACCAATGGTGGAACGAAATCTAGTTGTGGCAGGGTCCTTAGAGACGCTTCTGGCCGGTGGATCCCTGACTTCCATCGCAGTCTAGCTTTTGGGACCTCAATGAACGCCGAGCTGAGAGGATTCCTTATAGGCATCGAGGTCGCTTGGAAAGCTGACTACAGACGTGTTTGGTTCGAGGGAGACTCCCTTGTTGCGGTCAACTTTATCATTAACGGTTGCCAAGAGCATCACCCCTTGGCTCCTATTGATATCAGCAGACTCCTTGCTCAAGATTGGCAAACCCTTGTCATGCACACTAGGGTGTTAACGGGCCGGGTCGAGCCGAGCTTTGATCTTAACGGGCCAAGCCTGTATTTAAACGTGTTCGACTGGCCTTAGCCTGTTACCTGTTACGAATATAATATTGGCCTGTGGCCTGGTTTATTTACAAAAAATAAAAACCTGTGTGAAGCTTGTCTTAGCCTGTTAGCATGTTAAAGAATAAAAATAAGAGAACAGAATTCCACAAAAAATCAATTTCCAGAGAGAAACCTTAGCTTCCAATTTGCAGCAATAATTTACAAAGTCTACAATAAATAAAAAAAATTAAAGTGAGAGAAGGTAGATAACAGGTTATATTATCTTAGCCCATTATAAAAAAAGTGCCAACAAAAAAAAATTAAAAAATAAAAATAAATAAATTGACACAAACGAGCAGTGCACAGTGGAACGAATGAGTTTTTGTGGGTTTGTTTGTGTGAAGGAGGATGAAGGATAATATAGAACAACACTAGTAATTCCATAAATATACATAAATTCAATATATATCCAAATAGCATAATATAGAACAAAATCATTCAAAAAGTCTGTTAAACAAATAAAATGGAGTGAAATAAATTGATGAGAGAGAGTTATTACAAGTAGTATAAAAAGTATAAATAAATATTTATATACTAGGCTAGCCTGGGAGGCTTTAAGGTCGAGCTTCTGAATTAGAGTCTGAGACTTTTTTATTAAACGAGCTTTTATACAAGTCCAAGCTTGGTTCCAACACGAGCTTTTATTAAACGAGCTCAGACCTTTACGAGTCGAGCCAAAGGCCCCTGGTTCGTTTACCACCTTTAACGCTGGCTCGTTTACCACCTCTAACGCACACCCTCGTGAGGGAAACATAGTCGCTTATTCCCACAATTGTAATGACTGGGAACTCCACATTTTACATGTTCCACCTTCGGATTGTAGGGCTCTCCTTGATAGGGACTCCATGGGCACCTGTTGCCCTAGATTCGACTCTGGCTAGTTTGTCTTAATTTTTCCTTGTCTTCAAAAAAGAAAAAAGAAAAAAAAAGCACTTAAGCAGTCATAATAAAATCTCAAATAACGAATACCGTAAATGCTGAAAATGGAGGTAAGTAATTCAATCGACAATATTTACAGTTTTACATTATCAGTTCCTCAAGTTGTACTACGATTTTCAAGTTTGCAATAAGCAAAATTAAGTTGACACAAAAATTATACCTCGTCCAACCACCAGGAAAAAAAGCATAGAAAGAAGTAATAGGTATCCATCAATATTTCTCTCTTCTTGTAATAATATCAAGATTGTTACGAAGTCATCAATAATAATAAATACATAAATAATTAAATATTGTACTTCTTATAAAAGGCAGATAAGACAGATGCTTGTTAATATCTTGATTAATTTGAACTGCTTAAAAAAACAGATATTAAATAAATGAATAAAATTGGATTAATAAATAAGATAAATATAAAATTTACAAAAGGGAAGAAATCTTTTAACTTCAGTATAAGACATAAAATTCTTATTCCCCATCTCAATGGTTGATTTCCACTCATCTAACAATTGTTATTTATTTGAAATTAATTATTAATTAATTGATAAAACTCAATAAACTATAACCGTTAAATGGACAAAAATCAACAGTTAAAATGAAAGATAAATCTTCTAAATCTTACACCGGAATGAAAAAATATCTCCTCTATATAGAATATTCATTAAAAAAAATGGAGAAAACTTCAAAAACTCTCCTGAAAGTTTACTCAAAATCATTTACCCCCTTCCCAAAATTTTTAATCATGTACACCCTTATTTAAAATTTATTTATCAATTACTCCCCTAACTTGATTTTCCATCCAAAATTAAAATTAACAGAATTAACTTTTTTAAAATACCAAAACTATCCTTAAAACAAAAAAAAGAAAAATTAACCCTTGCACCAATGTACCTTACTGTTGGCAAGAGATAGTCATTGAGGAATGGAGTCCTAATCGTTCAGACGCTCCACTTCCCCTACTTCCGATTAGCCGGTGAATACTTACAGAATTCAGGTTTTGAAATAAAAAGATTTAGACTGGTAAATCGTTGTATTTAAGTTATTTATATTCTCTCTGAGTTTTTTGGGATATGAGAAAGGAGAGGGTGGGAAAAAAAGGATTTTTTGATTTGGAAAATGTTTATGTAATCTAGATTTGCAATCTTGAAACTGAAAGTTCATTTTTTTTTTTTTTTAAAAAAAATCTTCCAATTATTTGTTTATCGAATCCGTGGAGTATTTGTTCTTTTTGTCAATGAATTGGGCTGCACGTATATAATTATTAACATTCTCTCAACCTTCCAAGCTATGCTTATACAAATGGTATGGCAATTTTATTCTTCCCATCACATGAAGATTACGTCTTTGTATGACGAACATGTAATGCTAGAAAAATTTATTCTTCCAGTGTAGTGTAAAACCACCTATATTTCATTGTCAAGAAAAAAAGCATATTCTTGCACGGCTCTATAAATAAGCAAATGAATATATGGATAAATTTTTTGGAATAGCAAACAAGAAAGGAAATTGAAATATTTAATCAGTGAAGTATTTAATCTTAAGATTCCTCCTATATGCAGTAAACATCAAATAATGGGGCCATGTAGATTGAAATCTTACAATTCTGTTTACTTTTCTGCAACGAAAGTGAATATTTTCTATGTCTGAAGACCAAAACCACAAAGCTCGCAAAGGGCTCAGAGCTTATTGTGATCGGCATCTCAACCATGCAGTCAAGGTGGTTAGGCTCGCAGCGGCGGCTCCATCCTCAATGACTATCTCTTGCCAGCATTATGATTCAGGGGTTAATTCTTTTTTTTAAGGATAGTTTTGGTATTTTTTTTTTAAATTAACTCTGTTAACCTTAATTTTGAATGAAAATCAAGTTAGGGGAGGTGAGTGATAAAAAAAACTTAAGTAGGAGTATAAATGATTAAAAATTTCGAGGAAGGGGATAAGTGATTCTTACAAAACTTTCAGGGAAATTTCTGAAATTTTCCCAAAAAAAAATTATGAACTCACAAGATTACTCGTATTGTTGATGATCATTTAATGCAAAATATAAACTTTAAGACAATTCACATGACTTAACTGTAATATGAATTTCTTGCATGAAGGAGACAAGGAATTTGAATGAACGAATTCTTTCTCCTACGTGAATTGCTTCTATATATAGATTTCTAACAAATTCCAAGCACATTCCTGGTATTTCCGCCGGTAATACAAGTAGTATAGTAGGCTCACCATTAGGCATTACTCTTCCTAATAGCTTCCACAAAGGTGTCAAAAAGAATAATCTCTTTATATTTTTCAACTACAAGGGATTAATTTTAGACATAATTTCCAAGCTTGTTATGGTAGTAAGGTAATATTCAAATGTACTAGATCTTTAAAACTAATACCCACCTCCTTCCTGTTCATGGTCAGGTTTACCCAACTTTAAAATCAAAGACAGAATGCTTGTCTTTGTCTGACCTCTTTCACCAAAATCTGATGCATGGGCACATAGGGAGAAACAAAACATCTATGGGAATCCAAAATTATTCATGGCATATGCTAGAATGGCTATGTTTCCATAAATCAGCAACATCTCATAAAACAATTCAATCAAATAAATACCTAGACAAAATCAATGATCAATACCATCAATGATCATGATATAAGAATTTAGGAACAATATCAGAATTTTGCAATTGTCAAACAATTAAAAAACTAGGGTTGCATTTGGCCCATACTTTTTGAGAGCTTATTATCCACTTGTGTTGAATTCCCCAACCTAAATTAGATGCACAAGGGGCAAAAATTAACTTAAAACATGGAAAGGTAATGTCTATCAAAATCCTATAATTAAAAGAATGTAGGTAAAATAACCAATATTGTCAAAGCCTAATAAACTAGATCATGTACTACCAACTCAATCCAAAATTAAATAAATTCAAAAGACTACCAAAAAAAACTCCTTGAAACCCTTTTGACTGACTCAAAAGTCAATAATCCCGCAAAAAGAAAACAAGATCCCGATTAAATCTGGAGCTACACAAGGCCCAGAAGCAATAAAAGCTCATTTAGCCCAGAAAAAATGGCCCACATGTTATGCAATAAACATCTCTACCACTACAACTGAGATTATTTCACTCATTCAATGACAATGAGCCAAGCTGATCACCAACTTCAGAACCTGATGCGGCTTCACGAAGGACTTGCATTGCCTCAGACACCTTTATCTTCAAATCTTCGGGAGATTCAATCAGATGAATTACCTCTGACTGATCCATTTCCAGCAACATTCCTGTCACCTTTGCTGTTTGATGGCTTGGTGTAAGACGGTCCACAAGCGGATATAGATGTTCACCCAGCATCTGTTAGTTTGAACCCCGACATATACAAAGAAAGTTACATTATTTCCCATACCATGATTATTATAAATTTTTAATAGTCATGAAACTGGTAATTACAAATTAAATTATCTGCATATAGAATTGCAACCTAAACAACAGACTCACATACATATGACAATACAAACTTTTACATACCAGATGCTGATTTTCTGGGGTAGCAGAAGCCAAGGCAGAAGCAAGTGTGTTGGACAATGCACCAGGACCCTGATTATCAATCGGAGTTGCAGCAACTCCTGTGCCGTCAAAGGGAAATGGCATCATAGGACCTGCTAGACCTTGGGGAACTATTGATGGATCCATTCCATTTCGACCATTCCCAATATATCTATACCCTTGGTTGGAGTTACGATGTAGCATCTGGTTTTAAAATTTGAAGTTTTCAACTGTGATAATATAACTAGGAATATTATGAATAAAAAAAAATTGCAGCTTATATTTAAGGAATAATTACATGGTTCTGCTGCACTTGTTGCATGTTTCCAACTCGTCGAACATTCATCCTCTGCCCAGACTGACCCTGTCTCTGAAGATGGTATGGCATAATGAAATTTGGAGCAACACCGGGTCGCATACCTGGCATGAGTTGCTGCTGGAAACCATATCCTACTGGCTGAGGTGGCATGAGACCAGGTGTACCTTGACCAAAATACATTTGTTGAGGGGCAAGTCTTGGTGCCCCAGGATGATATCCAGGAATTCCTACAGGCAGAGGTGCAATTCCACCCGGTGTTTGCATTTGAGAAAACTGAGCCTGCAGAAAAGCAAATATGTGACACTCTCAATTGAGTTTATGGAAAATATATGAATATAAAGTAAACTCATCTAAATTAATTTAGGCTAGAAAACTAGAAAAATGAAAGTAAGCAAGTTTTTGGATGAATATAAAATGACAAACTTCTACCCACAAGGAGTATTTGGAAAGGAAATGCAAAAATAGCAGATTCAAATATTCCATGTCTAATTCAATTTTACAAAAAAAAAAAAAAGAAGAAGAAGAAATAGATATAATGAGACGCTATAAGTACCATGTATATAAATAAGAAATAAGAAATGAATGTTTCAATCCACCCACTTAACCTTAAGCTACAAATGCTTATGAAGGAAGTAGTCTGGATTTAAATAACTGGTTTATCCCTGATTCAATATGAAGAATGATTTAAATCATATATGAACAATGGGATAAAAGACGAGCATCACCTGCAACTGAGCCTTTCTCTCTTCTTTGCGCTGGGCCACAGCAACATACAGACGCTTCGGTCCAATCATCTTTCCATTCATTTCCCTCAACTGAACAAAATATAATACAAAGATCAAGCATCCAATAAAAAAGGGATATATTTAACTCAGGCAAGCCTTTTGGAAAAAAAAAGGCTAATGACTTACAGCTTTACTTGCTTCCTCAGGAGTAGAAAAGGCAACAAAACCAGAACCCTTGCTATGGCCATGTGAATCAAGCATCACCTGAAGAATCATAAAACTGCAATATATTACTTTGGCTTACTCAAACAATAATGATGAAATGAAGTCAGTCATAACACAAATGGATGTTTTGGGTGCACACAATCATGGACAGTTCACCCACTTGCCCATGCACAAAAACACAAGAAGAGTAGAGAGACAAAATATACAAGGAGAAATTTTGATGTACCTTGCAAGATGTTATTGTTCCAAAATCAGAAAATAGCTCCTTTAATTTTTCATCATTAATGCTATCATCAAGGTTTTTCAGGTATAAATTAGCACCTTGTAATTTTTCATATCTGCTTATTCTTTCCTGTTCAAATTTAGCTTTCAATTCTGCCTCTCTTTCAACTTTTCTCTGAGCCCTCCCAACAAATAAAACATTTTCAGCATTGATCATTGTTCCGTTTAACTTCTCAACTGCAGCAGCTGCTGAGTCTGGACTTTGGAAATTCACAAAACCAAAACATCTAGATTTCCCATTCATGTCTTTCATGACCACGGAACTAGTTATTGTACCACAGGGGCTAAAGAGCTGCCCAAGGTCCTCATCAGTATAAGTTTCAGAGAAGTTTTTCACATACACATTAGTGAACTTTGGTGATCCATTTACTAGAGCCCTTTCCTGGCGTGGAACAAAGAGTCCAACATAGACCTTTTTATCATTGATCAACATGCCATTCAACTTTTTGATGGCATTCTGTGCAGACTCATCATTGTCAAATTGTACAAAACCATACCCTTTTGATTGACCACTACCATCAACAGCTACCTTACAAGAAAGTACAGTTCCAAAGGCAGCAAAAGTGTCATTCAATGCCTTGTTATCTATTAATGTGTCCAGGTTCTTGATGAACACATTTCCATATCCACTTTTCCGAAGGCTAGGATCTCGATGAGAATACATAATACGAATGGGTTTTCCATTCAGAGGAGTGAAGTTCAGATGTTCCATAGCGTTAGCCGCTGCAACATAAATGCCAAAATCAGAGAGGCAATGATAGGACCAATAATGCATTTTCATATTAAATCAACAAATTGAACAAATTTTCCATTCTGTAAGATGAATGCATTAAGATCTCCTACAAACTACCCAAGCCCTCACCTCATCCCTAGTGGCTTACTTAAATTATTAATAAATATAAATATAACAATGGTGGAGTGAACAACTTTTTCCACCTGAATGTAATTCAAGCATTGTATACTATAAAACTATGAAGAGATGCCCCCAGAACCCAAGTGGCAAAGATTAGGCTAAAATGGTACACCATAGAGCTGTAAGAAAATAGTACAAAAAAATATGAAAAACTTAAGTCATTCTGAAAATCATGAGTGAATCCAACAAAGCACTTAATAATAATAATCATAATAATAATAATAATAATAATAATAATAATATTGTGGGGCAAAAAAAGGAGAACACATTACAGGCATACGCATTATATTTGAATAAAAAGAGACAGATAGAGAAATACCCAACAATTCCTCCCAACCAACCAATAAAACCAAAATTCACAAAAATTATTATATTGCAAATGAATCAGCCCAGCATAACTCAAATAATATTTTTTTTAACAAAATATTAAATAAAAATATATTCATTCAACATAAAAACACCAAACCTGAAGGCCAGACAGAAGACGACTTCATCAATCGTGAGATCAAACCACTAATCTCAATAGACAAATTTCACCAAATAATCAAATGCAGAACTCAAAATAAACAAAAAAACAAAAACAAAAACAAAATAATACTCAATTACTCAACTGACAATTAAAAAAAAAAATGAGTTTTAAGTGATGATGAATGATGATATTACAAACCATCGTGAGCATTGGAAAAGTTGACATAAGCGTAACCAAGAGAGGATCGCCTTGTCTGATCCCTGCAAACCCTAATAGAAACCACCTGAGCCACCTGGTTGAATAGATCATAGAGCTGTCCCTCATTCACATTCCCCTCAAGATCACCAACGTACAGAGATGAATTCAAAAATTGACCCCCGGCCACTGTCGTCTCTGTCGCCGCCGCAGGAACCGCCGCTGCCATTTGCTTTCCCAACAAGAAAACTAATAGGAAGACAAAAAAAAAAGTGAAATGAAAGAAAAATAAAAACTGAGGATACGAAGAAAACAGAGCAGTGTTGTTGTTAGGGTTTTTCTTTCTTCGGAAATTGGAAATCGGGGATTTTATTTTATTTTATTTTATATTTTATAATTTTGGGAATTTTTTTGCTTCCCCTCTTTGGTGTCTCCGAATAGAGAACACAACAACACAAGGAGGTTGCGTGAACTGGGGCAGCCAACGTAGGGTTTGTATATAAGGAAAAGTTTAAATAACCCTTTCTCTTATTATTTATACTCTCTCTTTTTTTATCATTTGTATGTTTATGTTTTTTTCATCTAAATTCATCTTTACAATATGTCTATTTTACTCAATTTATAAAAATACATTTCACTTGTCTTATTTAATAAATTTTCTTAAGCTAAAAAATATTTTAAAATTAAAGTTAAAAAACTTATAAAATAAAATTAAAAGTTAGTTAGTAATTATATAAAGATATTATGATGAATTTGAAGAAGCAAATATAAAATAATATATTATTATGATAAATTATTAGAATAAGGAATAAAAATTATAAATATAAATTTACCATAAATATGAAGACTCCAAAATGCTGACATATAACTTAAAATAAACTTCTCCCCAGAGCTTTTAGTTTTTAGAAAAAAAATTCATTACAATTTTTTTTTTATACTAAGAACTTTTATAAAATTATGTTTGATTAAGTTTTTGCTTTTAAGAAAGAAAAGAAGCTAAAAATAAGACATGACAAACGAGTACGTATTCATTATCATTTTAATATACATCTTTCAAAATGTGACATAAAATAATCTCTTACAAGTTAATCCATGTATTTAGTGGTACATGAAACTCTTGTTTGGTAAATGAATATATTCCACATTTTTTTTAGGAAAAGTTCATATACCTCATGTGGTTTTACTCTTTTATCACTTACATTACTCTATTTTTTTTCTTATCAATTACCCCCGATGGTTTTATTCCATCCAAGTCTACTTTTAACACCGTTGGTGTAAGAACCCGCACCGTTAATTAAGGTATTTAATTAATTAATCATGCAAAAATAGGAAATGATTCCATAATTGACCCTAATAATTATTTAAGAGGCTTAATAATCATAATAAGTGGGTTAGAATGCTGAAAGTCGCTTTTCGGAAGAAAAGTGCAGATATCGGTTCTGCTAGTCGGTATAAATGCGTACCGAAAAAGTATCCCGAAAAATTAAAGTAAGTGCATGATAATTACTAGAATAATATGTAGGACTTGTAAAACGAGTTTCAAGTCCAAATAATGAGAACTGGTGCTAGAAACCGGTACTGCTTTGAAAAGCGTGTACCGAAAAGGTGCTCAAAAAAATATAAGAAAAATATGATAATTCTTAGAAAATTATGTAGTTTCATAATCCAAAGTTTGGGATTAAAATGCTATGTGTAGCAATTAAAGTTAATAATGTGTGTTTAATAAGTAAGTGTCTATATATATGGCTTTTAAGGGGCACACAACCCTAGATAACTACTTGGTTGCGTGGCTTCTCTTGGAGGCTGACCAGAAAGAGTGTTCTTAAGCTTCCTTCTCCATTTCTTGAGCAAGCATTCACCTTTGATGCTTGTTCTTTCCTTTAAACACTTGGTAAGGGTGATGGTTGGCCTTGAGACTGCATTGTGGTGTTGTTTCTGAGTTGTGAAGTCTGTGTGAGGGAGTTTTGGTTGCTGACTTGTTGGTTTTGGGTTGAGAGAAGCTTGGTTTTGGTTTTTGGAGGTCTAAGTGGTGACCTTTGTGTTAAAGAACCAACCTTTGTGAAGTCATTTTCGTGCATCTTCCTTGTGTCAGACTTGAGCGGCTATGTTGAGCTCCAAGAGCATCTCCATTCAGAGTTTTGAGCCTTGGTATGTTGTACCAACCTTTAACTTGAGTTTTAAGGCTTAAAAATGGTACCTTGATGCATCTAATGACTAAAAGATGATAACTTGTTGTTGGGTAATGTTGAACACGCCAAGAAATGCATGATTAGGTGTTTAAAATCGGTAAAAATGGAACCTTTTAGGGATATCTTCACGAAAATGCAGAAACTGCATTCTGTCGTGAAATATCCGGATATTTGTCGAACAGATATCCGGATATTAGATATCCGGATTTGTAGTTTTGGGATATCCGGATATTGGATATCCGGATATGTGAATTTGTATATCCGGATATTGCATATCCGGATATGGACAGTGAGATATCCGGATATGGTCCCGAGGAATATCCGGATATTCTGGGATTTCGCAGAACAGTAGCTGCGATGTGTGTACAGTAGGCTATTGGGGGTTTGTGGACCCTAGTTTGATGAAGTTGAACTTCTGTATTTAATGGGCTAAGCCAGAATCATGGGATTAAGGGCTTGTGGCTTTGTTAGAAGCTTTAAGACTTGAAAACGTAATGAAAAGGCGTTGTCTTTAATTTGTATGCATATGGTACATGTTTATTGATTTATATTTGGTCCATATCAGATTGTGATCTGCTGTGATTGGACTTTGAGCTTGTGGCATTGGATAGCTAGCTTAGAGGTAAGCTTTTGTGTCCTCGGTTTAGCCATGTTATGGTTCCACCATGTCCCATGGGGATATGGTATATGCATGTTGTGTTACATGCTTTTGATGTTTTGGAAATGCTGTTGAGCTATTATATGTTAGTGCCTTGTTGATATGCATGGAGGTGTTCCACCTATACGGTAAGCCTGAGTATGTAGAACATACAAGAGGGTGAGGCTGTGGGTGAGGTGCAAGCGGTGTTCCTTGTACTACATGTAGGGAATAGACGTATTCCTACATTTCTCTGGACAGTAGATAATGATTACACACATGCCATAGATATATGTTGCACTACATAGTTTTGGAACTGATAATGATATAAATGCTTTTAGAACTTATATTGAACATGTAAGTGAGCTTGGGGTGGAAGATCCTTGAGGACCCCTTGTTTTACTGAGATTTCTAGTTTAGAGATCTCACCCCACGTTTGGGGAATGCTTATTTCAGGGTCAGGTAATATTGAGACCTCAGGCGGCAGGAGGCCGGAGCTGAGTTAGATTGCTGTTATATTATGCTGCTATGATTGGATGTTGGATTGCATGCTGTTATATGCTTATAGCTTCAGTTATGTTTATGGAGTTTTATGATGAGACTGGTTGTGTACTATGTTTATTTGGTGAGCATGGGGATTGTCCATGACACATAGTATTGTTATGTCTTGATTATGTCTTGAGTCTTTTGAAGTTGTAATAATGTATCAGGATATTGTTCGGATTACTTGATGTAATGCCGTGATTTAGATACATACTTTATTTATATATTGAGGTATTTCAGTAGATGTCTTATTGCAATTTGCATACAGGCGATATTTTATGAAATTGATTAAGTAATCAAGTTGGTAATTGTTAATGACGTCATAATTGAAAAGAAAAAGAATATTTCGCATTTTTAATTAAGCACCGCTTAATACGATGTAATGTTAATATTCCGGGTATACACGGGGTGTTACAGTTGGTAATTGAACTAACTACCACATTTTATTCCTACTTTACTTATTAATTAATCTGATATAAAAATTTTGGGCACCAACATTAAAAGAGCAAAGTTTAGGTTTATTATTAAGACATGAAAAACGGTCATGTATCATGTCCATTTCAAATATTTTACAGAATGGACAGAACATCTCTAAAAAATTCACAAAAAAGGTTAACATTCGAAATTTTGAAAATAATCACTTTTAAAAAAAGATCTTTCTTTTATTATTCCTGAGCCAATCCTCCGTTGTTTGGCAAGCAGCTTATATATATATAGGGTTTTATCTTTCTCATTTTACAATCAAGTCTCTCAATGCATCATTACTTCTCATTTTACAATCAAGTCTCTCAATGCATCATTATATAATAAGGCAAACTAAAATTGATTGATTTGTGCACCTCGTGCACCAGAACCACCCGATGAGTCACACTCAAAGCGATGCCCTCATGGGACTTCCAAGAATTAACACTCTTAGGATCCAATCCCTAAAGGGAAGCACATGACATAGGCTATTGGCCAAAGAACTGTTCGTCTTCCGCGTACCTCGTACACAAGGACAACTCAATGAATCAAACATCAAATGAGTGTCCAATGAAACTCCTCAGAGGCAACCTTTTCGGATACATCCCTCCCGGTATAGTCCATAAATATATTGATGGCCAATAACCCACTCAATCAATTTAGTTCACCAGATTATATTATTAAACACATCATTAAAACATTTAATAGCATAAAACACACTTCATAAATTAGATTATCTAATTACAACAATTCAAACACACATTACCATACTCTAGAATACACAATCACATATAGTCAGTCTCAATTACAAAAGTAACCTTACTTTTGTAACTTACAACCTCATCCTATTTTATAGGATAACAATAATATCCCTAGCACAAATATAAATTCACACTAATGTTTACTCAACAACTAAGATATAATACCATATATATGTCAAAGCAAAGTTCAACAACTCAACCAAGCCATTCCCTAGGTCATCTGGCATCACAGGAATGCTGAACCAAACCATTTCCCAAGCCATTGGCCGTCACGGGAATGCTGACATCAATCTCTTGACTAGAGATCCAATCAAATAAACAACTTAAAATAAGGTATCACACCATTATGCATCCAACATTCAATCAAGACAACCATAGAGTCTCATTTAAAATCAATCATGAGTTCCATGAATTACCACCATTCAAATAAATATCAATGTCATATTTCATAGTTATGTGCATGTCATACCTCATTGGCTTACTTCATATATAACTCTAATCAAGATTACTTTATTAAGGATTCTTATTCTCGTATAGTCTTTTACATTTAAGGAAGTTATCTGAATGTATCCTAGTGTTTACCATAATAAATGCAATTGTCGTACTTAAGAATGAGTTGGCCAAACTTATACTCATTGTCTAGCAAGGCATTATCATGCCAAACACTGGAACCACAAAACAAGAAACTTCCTCAATCTATCATACTAGGCTTTTTCCCTAGAAAGTGCTCTAATACCATAAAATGTAACACATCATTTGCGACCGATTTGTTATCTTACTTTATGGTATTAAGCGCAGCTAATTAATCAAATAATGCGAAAGCTATTGAAATAAAGTGTCAATTAATATGTAAATACGTGA